GGCTCAGTACAGGTTTTCCAGGCAGAGCATGATGGGGCCCTTGACTCTATCATAGCAAGAACCACAAGTGCAGAGATGAAGGCAGAGAGGGGAGGCTAGAACTAGCTTGGTGCGTGTGTCAGAGGTACCATGTTTAAGGAGTAAAAGTAAGAAAGATAAGAGTTCTGAGTATAAAGATGAGGTGCTCATTTTGGATTAGATTTAGGTCAGGATAAGATACTTTCGGGAATCATCAGAGAGTCTACTATGAGGGGTCAAGGAGGGCCACTGAGCTGAGGAATAGTATGTCCTCAAAGGGAGGGGTTATCTGAGGAGATCTGGGCAGATGGGGCTAAAAAATAAGCTGGGGTCCTATTATAAGAAGCCTGATATAGCAAGCTAAGAAATTTTGACTGAAAAGGGATGGGCTTGGGAAACTTACCTCCTTATGGAAGAGAGGAGGCATGATTAAATTCATATTTCAAAAAGTTCATCTTGCTGGTAGAATGGAGAATGTATTAATATGATTTAGGGTGGCTGTTACTAAAATATTTCACACACAGAAGTGAAAAGTTGCAAGTGCCAGACACTGGCACTTTCTATAATGCCAGATGGGACTGTCATATAAGGGCAAACATGACCATGAGATTTGTTGGGAGGATAGAAAATTATTAAAAATGTCCAGCTCTGGAATTGGTATGCTAGGGTAGCTCCATTCTTTACCATCTATGCAACCCTAGGCAAGTTAAGTAACTTCTCAGTAATTCAAGTTTCTTATCCAAGTAAAGATATTTGCCCTCCTGAATAATTTTTGAGAACTTTCAATGAACTTAAATTGTATATATTCAGTAACTCAGTAACTATTATTATCAGTAGCTGTGTGTTCCTGAATAAGGTGTTTAACCCCTCTAGGCCTCAGTTCCCCACCTGTAAAATGGGATAATAATTTCTACCATATAGAGTGTCTGTGAGAATGAGAACATTCCCATAAAGCATTCATCTCCATAACCCAAGGAATTTTAGCATTTATCATTAATGATAACATTATTTTGAACTATATTTCAGTAAACAAAATCCATTGATTGGAATATAAAATTGACTCATCTACATTTTACTCTAATTATTGTGAATTGGATACTCAGTGCTATTTTGGAAATAACTCATATGTTCTTAGATGTATACTCTTCAAATAATAGGAAGGATAATATGCCTTTATATTTAGAGAAAATTAAAATAGCAATACTTAAAATATTAGTGGATTCGTAAGAGAAAGGAAACCTGCATTTTCATGAAAACAGAAAAAGCAGCCTTAATCTACTGAATTCAGACAGGTTCACATAAAGATGTATGCTATGTACCATATGTAATGATTAAGGAGACAGAGAAGTTGCTGAAAAGCCATTTAAATTTAAACATACATCAAAAATATACAGACATGAGCTATAAGCAATATCTCATTATTCAAAAATTGTTAAAAGTACAGTGATCTAAGGATCAGAGAAATATTTTCTGAAATATATATATTGTCACCGGTTTTGCCCCCATTTCTCTGTGACTCCTGGTTCATAGAGAAGTGTGCAAAGTATAGTGTTAAGCATGGCAGTTTAATTCTGGCTCTGCCACTAGTTTGCATTGTGCACATTATTTAAACTCTGTATCTATCGCAGCTTTTAAAATTCTTTGCACTTCAGAGGCATACTGATAGACTGGTAATGTCTGCTAAATTTGTTGTAGGCCCTGGGCTTGGTGGAATACAAACTTTTCCCTCTCTGATGCCTAATGAAGAATAACTGCTCAAGTATGACAACTCTTCTCATCCACAAAGTTTCGTATAACTACAAAGGAATTTGTATTCAAAACTTGACCCCAGCACTCTAGCCTTTTATAGTATGGTTATAGTAAGAGGAAACAGGAAAGGGTTTTTTTTTTCTATATATATCTTATTATTCCTAGGGATGTTTATGCTGTTCCTTAGACTGTCCACACCTCTTTCTAAACGTGCCTAAGGAGACAACACAACGGTTCTCTTCCAAAAAATAAAACCACAATAAAGCCAAGCCAAACTCAAGCACCTCCCAGGCAACTTATTTTTGTGAAAATCTGTCTCATGTTTGGGTGGGGGTGGTCCCTAGAGAGAAGCCTCAGTATGATTAGGAGCACTTGAAATCAAACTCAGAAACATTAGACTCACAGTTAGAAGAAAAACACCTAGAGGGAAAAATAACATCAAAGAAAAAGAAAAAGTGAAACATTCAACTTCATAGTCTTTCCATCATGGCAGCTTGGTTTCCTAGGAAATGAACTCCTTAGGATAGTGTTTCTCTGTGTCTTTTTTTTTTTTTGAGACAGAGTCTCACTGTGTTGCCTGGGGTAGAGTGCCGTGGCATCACCCTAGCTCACAGCAACCTCAAACTCCTGGGCTCAAGCGATCCTCCTGCCTCAGCCTCCCGAGTAGCTGGGACTACAGGCATGCGCCACCATGCCCGGCTAATTTTTTCTATATATTTTTAGTTGTCCAATTAATTTCTTTCTATTTTTAGTAGAGACGGGGTCTCGCTCTTGCTCAGGCTGGTCTCGAACTCTTGAGCTCAAACAATCCGCCCGCCTCGGCCTCCCAGAGAGCTAGGATTACAGGCGTGAGCCACCGCGCCCGGCCTCTCTATGTCTTTAGACAAAACATAGGGATTGTGAATATCGAGTAAGGGAGAAAGAGAGAAGAAAAACTTCCAAATGTGAAAATTTGATCAGAGAAAGATGATTCCTTTGGAGATGATTTTTGATTCCTTAGCAGAAGACATACTATAGTTCTTTCTTTCTCTGTCCTAGAGTTAATCTCAGGAAGGCTTATGTATTTGTTCTTTTAATGGATATAATTATTCCTGAAAAATGTTCTAAAGTCCAGGCCCTCACTTCACAGTAAGGGTGTAAGTTCAATCATTTTGGTCCTTTGGGCTGAAAATCAACACCTCCCATGTCCCCAGTATTATGGAGCAGAAAGCAGATTTTTAAAGGGATAATAGTTTGGTTAATTTCCATAGTTTTTATTTTCCTTTACCTTCTTGTTTGTAATTTTGGCAAGGGAAATATTAATCATAAAAATGAACAGAATTTTCAAAATATGCCTTTGGAGGTGTGCATTAATATGAATAGGTTTGAGTAGCAGTAGCTAGGCATATATCACAGACATTTATATATAATGGACATATTCATTCATTCAACTTTAATTGAGCCTATTTCAACTGCTACTCTAGGTGCTGGGCTACAATAGTGGTTAAATAGATAACTGTCTTTCCCAAGAAGGAACTTACTTTCTGCTGGAGTAAGACAGAAACAAGCCGAAAGGAATAAGTAAGATCATATAATGTATTTAATGGTCATAAGAGATATGTGGAAAAGTAAAGGGGTGGTGAGACCACAGATGCACTTGTATCTCTGAAATCTAGAAACATCCATGTGATTAGTTCCCCATTTGGAAATAATGTTTAGTACAAATCTCTGTGCCTAGAATGTATTATGCAGAGGACCTTGCTAGGAGGAAAAGAATTTATGTTTCTTAAATCTGTTTTAGAACCTAACTCGAATTCTTTTTTTTTTTTTTTTTTGAGACAGAGTCTTGCTCTGTTGTCCTGGGTAGAGTGCAGTGGCGTCATCATAGCTCACTGCAGCCTCCAACTCCTGTGCTCAAGCGATCCTCCTGCCTCAGCCTCCTGAGTAGCTGGGACTATAGGCATAAGCCACGATGCCTGCCTAATTTTTTTGTTTTTAGTAGAGATAGGGTCTTGCTCAGGCTGGTCTCGAACTCCTGACCTCAAGCAATCCTCCCGCCTTGGCCTCCCAGAGTGCTAGGATTACAGGCATGAGCCACCGTGCCCAGCCACTGACGTAAATTTTCAGTGAAGTGGAGCTCACAGGTCATGAAGCGATCAGAGTTTCTTTGAAGGTTTTACTCTCTGTTTCATTTCCTCACAATGCTAGAGGCTACCTGCACCTGACTGTCTTCCCTGTCAGATATCTCAGGTTGTTCAGACCCGGATAGGTGACCTCACTAGGTGATGAGTCCGCTCTTGACTTACCGTGCAGCCCCTGCAATTACAAGTCAAACTTGTGGTACCGGTGTGCAAGGAAAGGATGTTTGCTACGATTTTTTAAATTACTTAACAGGTGCAAAAATTGAGATAATTCATTAAATACATCTTTGAGAAATTGATCACATTTATTTATAATATATTTCTGGAGAAATATTAATATAAATCAAATGAATAAAAAAACAACATTCTTACAAAAGAGGGACTTTAACCAAGAAGCCCCAAAGAGAAACAGCAAAATGGTCATGTCCCATTACTGATACGCAATTTGCCTTTTAAAGATGTTTATATGGAAGTTGAGGGTGTACTTTGCTAGAATAACAACAAATTCATTTCATTTTTTTCCCCCGTTGATGTGAAAAGTTATTCATTGGTAAGTTTCGGGTATTCTCAGACTCCATTTCAGACATTTTCATGAGTCTTTTGAGGACAGAACTCTGACCTTTTTTTGCTTAAATTCCTTTAAGAGGCTTGGTGAATCATGCCCTACAAACCATAAAATTTCATTAAATGGATTTTTTTTTATTAACCCAATATAACGTAGTTTACTTCCCAACCTGATTGTGGTATAACATCACATGGCAGGTAGCAGACACCCCCCCAATCTTAAGGAATTCATAATTAGAATTTTGACAAACAGGTTATGTAAACAACCATACAATGATAATGGGAATGCATAATGTGATTCAGTGCAAAGTAGGACTAAAGAGGGGATAGAAATGAGTGGGGCTTGTGAAAGAACCTGGCTGTGTTAAGTGAGGCTCAGCATTGAGCCTTATGATGATGTTTCTGAGGACAGAGGGTACTTTATGTAGCCGTGGTTATCGTTATCCTGCCTAATTTGTTCTCTCCAGAAATTACTCCTCTTGTTTGCCACCAACTTAACTCTAAGAGGAAGAAAAAGCCAAACTCTGCTTTCTCTTCTGTTCCCTGCAGAGCACGGGACTCTCTCTCCAGCTTGGCGTCCGGTAGGCCTGACCCTGCTGGCTTTGTGCTTGGTGCTGCTGATAGGCCTGGCAGTCCTGGGGCTTGTGTGTAAGTCTGCGCTCTGACTTGGGGGAGGATCCTGGTTCCAAGGTTTGTCTAGGATGAGAAACGCTTACTATGAATTTTTTTTTTCTTTACTTCTGGAGCCTGCAGATAATTCATTGTATCTTTTTTTAATAGCAACTATTTAAATGATGAGCAGTAAAAGAAACATTAAAATACAACAATTGTTTGCCAACTAGAATTAAACCTTCTGTTTAAGATTATACGGCTTTTTGTCTGTTTATATGTCAATATTTAAAAGAATCATTTCTAAATAAATACACACTTCAGCTTTCTCCCATTCCACAAAATATAGTGGCAGTGGTTTGTGCTGTCAGTATGCATGGCTCAAAAGGCTAGTGCAGAGGAAAGAGCTTTTATTTATCCCACACCGTCAGTTTAAGGAGATAAGCTCCTTAATTACTGTGACATTTTTCAAAAAGTCCAGGACATTATAGAGTCATTTTGCAAAAACTTGTGGAAATCAAACAGGAAAGAATGTATCTATAAAAATCTTTAAATTTCAAGCTAGTAAGGACAAGTACAAAAGCTTGAAAAAGGAAGTGGGTGAATTTGCCTCACCAGATCTTACAGCAGTGCTTCCCAAACAGTTGAAGAAGGTGGCTCAAGGCAAAAATTCACATAGACGAGCAGGTGTTAACGTCAAAAATTGAGTGTTTATAGGAAATTTTAGAACTTTTATTTGTGCTGGTAACTTTTAAATTTGAAAAACAGTTTATTATTTCCTCCTGATCTCAAAATGTTTACTTCATTATGCTACAACTATTGTTTTGCAACCATTCTTCTTAGCAACTCTCATGGTT